GATAGCAACTATTTATCTTTCCTCCCAATTATCTCCTGTGATCCAAAAACAAATATACTCTCCCACCCCAGGTTTTTTTTTTTTTTTTTTAATTCACATTCAGTAGTTTATAATTGGGTAAGCAGTCAAATGCATTTCACTTTGAAATGAATGTTTTCCTGAACCAAATCTGTGTTACTTCTATATTGTCCTTGAAAAAGCTATCATTTCAAAGGTGGTTTAATTTTTATGACTACCATTTTCAAATGGCCGTGTCATCTAATACACTGTTTTTATTTCAATGCCTATCCTATCAAATATTTTATAATTAGAAAATGCCCACTTAAGTCCATTGGACTTCCCATTTGAAGGAATCCTTAAGCAACTCCAGTTTCAGTATCACTGTTTTATAAGAAAATGTGTGCATAATAATTTTTATTACCCAAATAAGTATTCTCCTATTTCAGTATCACTGTTTCATAAGACAATTTGTGCATAATTTTTATTCCCCAAATAAGGACTGGTATATGCAATCTATGCTGCATCTCAATTGTTCAGAAATCAGCTGTCAGATAATCTCAGGCCTCTGAAACAAAGTGGCTAGCCTAGTTCATGAACACAAAGTAAATTTTAAAAAGCTGCCACACCTTCTGTGCCCTTAGTCAGTAGATGGAACAGATCCATACTTAAGCTCTCACCTAAACAATGTTATGCAAATGTTGATTTTAATATTAGAGTCAATATAACACACTTACAGCAAAAGACAAGAATTACATAACAAAAGTAAAACAAGACAAAACACAACAAACGCCACACATTACAAGTAGCACCCGGACATAAAACTTATCAGTTTAGGACAATTTAGGAGAACAGTTCTACACAGCAAAAGCTTCTGAGGAAGTCACATAAATTCCATGAAGGGACTGATGTTCATAATGACAACTCTGGGCCATAAAAACAAACAAACAAGAAAAAAATGTTAAATTATACTCTCTTTGCTCTGTTTAAGAAAACAGAGGTTAAATTTTCTGTTTCAGAAACATTTTGAAAAAATGTTCATACAAAACAAGTTTTGGCACTAAAAGGTTAAGACTCAATTATCCACAAAATTAACAGATTAGAAATATACCATTTGTTAATAAGGCCTAATGAATGAGGAATCACTCAAAGTAAAATTCTCAAAGTTAGACTATACTATGGCTGTCTTTTAGAAGATGAACTACGATAAGGTGCGGTAACATTTTGGGGGCTTCAAACAGGGAATTCCCTGTCCTAAGCCAATTCTTGGTTGATAGTCAAAAGAATATCTGATAATTTTTGAAAGCTAGTCAGGCAAATTTTCCACTTAAATGGCTGGACACACTCAAGAAAATATCCTGATTTCACTTTTCACTTTGTTTTCTTTAAATTGTGACTGCCAAGTAGACAGGTTGATCTAGTTTCTAGCTCTGACTTGATAAATGACCTTGTCCAAGTGTCTCAATCTCCCTAGCCCTCCTTAGTTTCTTCATCAGTAAAGCGAAGGAGTTATACAGAGTATGACATGATAGTTAACAGAATGAATGTAGTAATAAAGTAAACCACAGAGGTACTACCTTAAGTCTTATAATCTATTTCTTCACTTTATCTATACATCTAACTATACATGTACTATTTTGAAACTATCACAAACTATATGCCACTTTACGTTTAAGGCCTAGAGTAAAAGAAATTATAAATATTTCAGAATCTTTTCCAATATTTAATAGGTGTTACTCTCAAGATATAACAAACTTCTCATGTACTCATTTAAATTAATTTAAAATACCATATAATCATGCACAAACAATGAATCATGGAACACTACATCTAAAACTAATGATGTAATGTATGGGGATTAACATAACAATAAAAACATTAAAATAATAATAATAAATAAAAAAAGGAAAAATAAAAAATAAAAAAATAAAAATAAAATACCATATAATCAATTATCTTTAACCCAAAAATATATGACTTTTTCTACCTTACACAGATTAAAAAACATACGATATGTAAAAGAACATTCATGGCAATGTCATTTATAATAGCCAAACACTAGAAACAACCCAAATATCCACCAACAAGAGCATGAATGAATTCTGTCATAGTCATTCCCAAGGAATAATATATAATGATGAAAAGGAAAGAATATTACTTGCAACTACATAGATGATCTTCAAAACATAATGCTGAGTAAAGGAAGAAAGAATACATATGATTCCAGACAATGGCACTTACCGGCTGACCCATCCATGTCCCATGCTGCCTGATACCCCAGTGGGCACCCCACAGCCATGTCAGGATCATGGTGTAGCAGGCAAGCACCACTCTGAAGGAAAGCACGAAGGCAGGCACAGGCGCCAGTCCTCGGTCAGTATCCAGTATGAGCTCTGAGCTTAGCCATACGGTCTGGACCTCAGCTCCACCACCCCCAGCCACCTTTCTGTCTCTGTGATCAAAGCTGCCACCTGCTAAGAACTGCTAGACAAGGCAATGGAGACCCTTCAGCTGACTGGAGTGCTAACACTGGTGCTAGAGAGGATGGGACCTCTATGGAGAGCAAGGACTTCCTCTAGCTGTTGGAAGATGACACATGCCTGATGGTGCTGGATTTGGGGAAAAGCTGGACCCCAGCAGGAATGCGTGCTGTCATATGGCCCAGGCCGGGAGAACACCAAGCACAGAAAGGACATCACCCTCATCACCTTCCACATAGAAGCAAAACCCCTGGAACTTCTTTGGCAGCCTAACATCAAAGCCACATTCTATAAGCTCTACTCCATGAACTGTGAGGTTCTCAAGGACCTGGTCCAAAGAAAGTACCAGGGGGCTGTTCCAGTTGGACCTCCTTGTTGCTGCAAGACCTGGGCCATATGTTGCTGGGAATTTCCTCCACCCTTCACCATGCAGTAGAAGGGGCTAAGCAGTGGCGGCAGCAGCAGCAACAGGGTGGCCTCCATCCCTACTGAGAAGGGGTTCTGAGCTTCTGCCCCTAGACTTGTTCTAAGAAACACAATGTGAGCACTGTGACATTATCAGGTTTGGGGTCCTGTAAGCAGTACACACTAGATAACCCACCTGTTTCCCCCCAGTGTTCTCTAACTGCATTTTGATAGGACCCATCCACCCCTAGTCTATACCCTTTCCTGAAGAATGCTGTCCCTTTGTAGCCATCTTTCCAGCCTCCCACTTACTGTGAAAGGCCACAAGCCTCTCCCCAGGCATCTTAATTCCACCCTAACTGCTGCTACATCTAAATGCCTTGGAACTCCTCCTCTCCCTAAGCTCCCCAGTACACTGAAGAGTCCTCTCTGATTTTACATTGAGATCTCTAATTCTTTATACCCTTCTCTTACAAAATAACAAAAACATTTCCAATAAAAATATTAAATTGTTTACAAAAAATTCATGATTCCATAAAGATTAAAGAGACAAAAAGTGAAAATATTGCTGAGAAATACACATAAAAATGATAAAAATTATATAGAGTTTATATAAATAATTACCATAAAAATCAAGACATTCGTTACTTTTAAAGAAAAGGAAGATTATATCAAGGGTTTCTGGGATGCCAGTAAAGATCTATGGTTACATGGATGCTTGTTTTATATTTATTCCTTTTACTATACATTATTTTTTTTTTAAGATTTTATTTATTTTTTGAGAGAGAGAGAGCACGAGCGGGGGGAGGGCGAGAGGGAGAAACAGACTCCGCACTGAGTGGAGAGCACAATGCAGGGCTCGATCCTTGGGACTCTGGGATCATGACCTAGGCTGAAGGCACACACTTAACTGACTGAGCCACCCAGGCGCCCCTACATTTATGTTTCTATATGATGTTATGTTTTATAATAAGTTTAAAATGGTATGTTTTCTGAAATAATATATTTTTATAGAGAAGGAAAAGAGGGTTCCTCTTTTTTGCTAACAATTTATTTTCTTGTCTACGTTTCTAATTTTTATTGTAATATTTAATAATAAAGAAATAAGTTACTAAGCCTAATTCTCCACAATCTTAATTAAGAGTCAATTTCACAGGCTTTCCCATGGCTACAAAAAAATATAAGAATAGCTACCCTATTAAATCTTTGCTTAGCTCAATGTTGTTTCTGTTACTTTTTCTTCTTTTCAATGAAATGTATGCTTACTTTCAAAAAAAATCCACATTATATCTAGGTAATAATTTTATACAGGCTGCACTCCAAAAAATACACTGTAGCTCATGAGAAGGAAGAAAAACACTCTTCTTAACTGTCACACATTTTCTAACAATTTTGGGAGCACCTGTGTATGCACACAATGTGAGGTTTCGTAATAGGATGGACATAGACATGACACTTGAGGTCCAACCCAACGTCACTCTGTAAATATTTTCACTGTGTGTACTAGAAAACATGATAGTTGGATTATACGATGAATATACAAAGCAAGTTACAGTTAAAGTCCACTGTATAAAGTGTAGCATAGGGTGATCCATTAAAAATAGATCCAATAATGCCTAATTTAAATTATACTGGAGCTGTTTTAAATATTTTCTTTGGAAAAACAGAAGTACAGGAAATTAAATTACAAAAAAACAAAAAATAAAAATAATAAACTGACTTCAGTTATAAACATTATATACATACAATTTAGGAAATCCCATCATCTACAAGCATCTTTCAATGTATGTTTGTTGTAACTTGTAGATACCACTACACAAGCAGACAATGAAATGTAGAAGCAAGACCATCAGCACCTTCATCATACTCCAGATATCACACAATCACAATGGCATCACCCATTACAATAATAAAGTTGTTTTTGTTGTGTACTGTTGTTTTTCTATGAATGCACCCTCTTTAGTGGATTCCGCTAACCAGTTATTTGCCCATCTATTAAGTGCCAACTTTAAAAAATTGCACTGTGTCCAGCAGGGAGCAGCATTACAACATTCATAAGACTTAACATGAACATGAAACCGACAGAAGAAAAAGGAGAAAAAAAAAAAAACCACTTACCATAGATCTGTTCTACAATACATTCAATTTTTAGGGCAGATGCAAGGCTTCCAGAAAAAAACATCTAAAGCATGTCTCAAAGTATATATGGATAATCCACAAATTCAGGATTCCTAAAGCAGGAAATCAAAATTACATGAGGTAAAGAATTCCCTCAGCCATGTTGGTTGAATTAGCATATAATAAGACTAAATGTCTCTTAGTTGTTAAGGTATATATTCCTCTTAGTGGGTCAATGGGATTTTGAATTCAGATATATGATAATACTTTGGATAAAACAATTAAAAATACCCCAGAATAGTAAAGTCCTTTATCCACCAGAAAATCTAAGCAGAAGTTGGGGCGCCTGGATGGCTCAGATGGTTAAGTGTCTGCCTTTGGCTCGGGTCATGATCCCAGGGTCCTTGAATCGAGTCCCGCATTGGGCTCCCTGCTCCTTGGGAGCCTGTTTCTCCCTCTGCTTCTCTCTCTCTCTCTCTCTGTCTCTCATGAATAGATAAATAAAAAATCTTTAAAAAAAAAAAAGCACAGAGGGGAAAAAAAAAAATCAAACCAGAAGAAAGTAAGTGCGTGACGTATCAATCAAACTAGAGAGAACGGTGGTCAAGGACTTAAAGGAGTTGATCAGCCAAATATATGCAGTTCTAATATATTAAAGTCTAAACAATTTGCAAGTAACAGGATATAACGTCATTTCTACATGTCAACATGAATATCTGAAGTTAATTTTAACACTGAAAAGGCAGCAGAGAAGTAGTGTGTAGCGCAGGTATGTTAAGACTGACTAGTCAAATACTTACTGAATACAAGTAATGCACATGATAATGCAGAAAAACTCTGTGATGAGTTAAAATGTGACAAATGAAAAACATACTATGTTTGATACTGTCTTGGATGTCAAAACCTGCCTCCTACTCAACTAAAATAGCTCCATGTCTGGTCTTATGACTGAAAAAAATTTTTTTTTCCAATTATAAAATGAACTTTCAGTTATAGAGTAAGTAAGTCATGGGATATAATATACAGCATAGGGAACATAGTTAAATAACTTTGGTGACAGATAACTAGACTTATCATTTCATAATGTATAAAAATAACAAATTACTACGATGTATACCTGAAACTAATAGGATACTGTATGTCAATTTTACTTCAAAATAAAGATTTATTTCCACTTTTATTTGAGATGTTAAACAGTTTGCTTCATATGTGTTTACATACAACATTTCAGTGTCTACACTGAAAAATAAAATTTTGCCATTAAAAGATAACATGAATATTCATCTTTAAATATTCATGATTATATATAATTTACATAATACACATCATCACAAATCAATATATTATTAATATATGAATAATATATTTATTTAAAATTTAATGAATAATATGTAAAATGGTTCCTACTATTTTCTTCCAGCAAAATAATATGAAAAGCTTGACTTAAGTATATGATAGCAAGACTACAGTGATTCTCTAACAATTATCATTAATTTTAATGAAGTCAAAAGAAACTGATTAATCTTCTACCCTTTAAGTTATTCATGGCATTATTTCTTATATTTTGCCCTGCTTAAAGTCTTTCTCTTATCCTATTTCTTGCTTTTGCTTTTGTACATTTCACTTTTTGTGATACTTATTTCTACTAGTCTATCTTCCCTCTCTTTTCTAATACATTTGTTTCAATCTCAATTTTTGTTTTATTCAAACTCCTCCCTTTATGACCCTACCATCTTTTTCTCTTTGTTAGGACCTTCAAAAGTGAGTTTTTTCTCCAACAGTCTGCTTAAATATACTCTTTACCCATTTACAGGCACTGTCCTTGCTCTTAACAATCTAACTGATTGGAAACTCAATAAACTTATATTGTTGTTACTTGTAAAAATATTTTTTCCACTGAGTTATTTAAATATTTGAAGAACTCACTAAACATTTTGGAATCAATCTTGAAACTCAAAAATTTCAAGAAAATTTAACCTCGCACACTCAGTCCAATCAATTTGAGACCACCACTATTCTAATAAAGAGGTGATTTAGGATCTCACCACGTCAGTGTGAATAAATACTGAGTAACAAACTTTTTAAAGTCAACAGAACTTTAGTGCTTTTTATTCATGTGTGTCCATGCGCATATGCACACTATCCTCATTGAAAAGCAAAGATACATGAAATAAACCCTTCTAATAATATATTGTCAAGTCTGAAAAGAAGAGTGATTTCCCTATTCAGGATTCTCTAATATGAATATTAACATTAATGGTATTAGTATATTAAAAAATAATCTCAAAATATCACATACAAGTAATTTAAAAATTATGAATAGATTATAATGCATTTATAATATAATTATCTAAAAAGAGACTGTAGTGAGTTGGGTAATGTTCCTCCCTCCCCTTTAAATTCATGTCCACCAAGAATTTCAGAATGTGACTTTATTGGGATGTAGGGTTTCTGTGGATATAATTAAGGTAAAGATCAATATAAGATCATACTAGATTAGGGTAGGCCCTAAATCCAATGAGAATGTCCTTATAGGAGACAGAAAAGGACACAGAGAGACACAGAGAAAAAGACAATGTGAAAATGGAGGCAGAGGTTGGAGTTATGCTGCCACAAGCCCAGGCACAACAGGAGCCACAAGAAGCTAGAAGAAGCAAGGAAGGATTCTCCCCTTGAGCCTTTGGAACAAACATGGCTCTACTGACACCTTGATTTTGAACTTCTGGTTTCCCAAACTGACCAAGTCAAAATTTCTCTCTTTTTTTTTTTTTAAAGATTTTATTTATTTATTTGACAGAGAAAGACACAGCGAGAGAGGGAACACAAACGGGGAGTGGGAGAGGGAGAAGCAGACTCCCTGCCGAGCAGGGAGCCCGATGCGGGACTCGATCCAGGGACTCCAGGATCATGACCTGAGCCGAAGGCAGTCGCTTAACCAACTGAGCCACCCAGGCGCCCAAAATTTCTGTTGTTCTAAGCCACCAAGTTTGTAGTAATTTGTTATGGAAATCCTAGGAAATCAATACAGATTTTGGTATTGGGAAGTGGAATGTTGCTCTGACACCTAAACATAAAAGAAAACTGAAGAGAGTGTTGGTAGATTGCCTTGAAGAGGCTGCTGGTAGAAACAGACATATTAAGGAGATTCTGGTAAAGGTTCAGAAGGTAGTGGACAGGATGGCAGAGAAAAACTATCATCTTAGAGAATACATATATTGTCAGGAGCAGAATGTTGTAGAAATATGAAAGTTAAAGGGGCTTCTGGTAAAGTCTCAAGAAGGAAATGAGGGACAGGTTATTGGACGCCAGAGGCAAGGCAATCCTCATTATAAAGTAGCAGAAAACCTGGGCTGAAATGTGCTCTACCATTGAGTGAGAAGCAGTACTTGTAGGCAATGAATTTGTTTATTTAGCTGAAGAGATTTCCAAGCAAAGTGTTAAAGGTGTGTACTGGTTTCTCCTTGCTGCTTACAGTTAAATGCAAGAGAAAGAGATAGAGAAAGGAACTGTTAAGCAAAAAATCAGCACCAGACAACTTGGACAATTCTCAGCCTCTCTAGACTGCGAAAGATGCTAACATCACAAATCACTAGGAAAATACAAATCAAAACCATAATATCACTTCAAACTCAATAGGATGACTATTATCCAAAAAAACAGAAAACAAAAGTTTCCAAGCACAGAGAGAAACTGGAACCCCTGTGCATTGTTAATGAGAATGCAAAATGGATCAGCCACTGTGGAAAACACTTTGGCAGCTCCTCACAAAGTTAAACATAGATTTATCATATGATCCAGCAATTCCACTCCTGGATCCCAAATCCACTACTTCTACCTTTAGATAGGTATATATCTAAAGGAACTGATAGCACAGACTCTAACAGATATTTGTGCACCAATGTTCATTGCAGCATTACTCAACTAGTGTCTTATCAAAAAATGTATGGATCAGGGTTCCTGAATGGCTCAGTCGGTCGACAGTCCGACTCTTGGTTTCAGCTCAGGTCACAATCTCATGGGTGGTGAGACTGAGCTCCGTGGCAGACTCTGCTCAGTGTGGAGTATGCCTGGGATTCCTTCCCTCTTCCTCTCCCTTGCCCTCCGCCCCTCCCCTTGTTCTCTCTAAAATAAATAAATAAATCCTTAAGGAAGAAAATGTATGGATAAACAAAATGTGCTATATATGTACAATGAAATATTAATCAACCATAAAAATAAATGAAGTTTTGGTGCATGATATAAGATGGATGAACTCTGTTAGCTATCATATGTGATGATCATTTTCCGTCACTGAGCACTGGAATATATTCACTTCAGAGCTTATCAGTAGTTCAGTCATGATTCCCTAATTGAAGTAGTTATGTCAACCCTCTTAGGTGGCTCAAGGTCTTGAGCCCTTTCTTTTTTTTTTAAGGAAATTTTTTTTGTGATAAAATTTACTGTTTTAATTATTACTAAGTGTACAATTCAGTGCCATTAGGTATATTTTGTTAGCATTAGGCAAACGCTAACAAAGAACAAATATATGATTCCACTTATATGAGGTATCTAGACAGGCAAACTCATAGAGACAGGAAGTAGAATAAAAGTTACTAGAGGTCAGGCAATGGAGGAATGGGGAGCTATCACTCAATGGGGAAACTGGGATGATGAAAAAGTTCTGAAAACAGAGTGGCAACGTTTATAAAACACTGTAAATATACCCAATGGCACTGAATCATACACTTAGTAATAATTAAAACAGTAAATATTATCACAAAAAAATTTGCCTTAAAAAAAAGAAAAGAAAGGGCTCAAGACCTTGAGCCACCTAAGAGGGTTGATATAACTACTTCAATTAGGGAATCATGACTGAACTACTGATAAGCTCTAAAATGAATATATTCCAATGCTCGGTGACGGAAAATGATCACCACATATGATAGTAATTCATTAATTCCATGTGAATTCATTTAGGAAATGTTAATAGAAAAAGGAAACATGATTTGCTTTATTTTTAAAACAGATTTAACCTCAGAATACCAGACTATAAGTTTATTTTCAAATCTTTCATTATGAAGAATGATAAAATTATACAGGTATACCTCAGAGATATAGCAGGTTCAGTTCCAAA